CCACTCCGGGGTCTGTTCTTTGTGGAACCTGTGGTTTGAAATTTGTGCCAGATGTCGCGTGCGGTTGATAGGGGAATTTCCGTGAGTTTAGCTGCAGCAGAGAGCGATGCACCGGCTTGAATGGCACCAACTAGCCGGTTCTTCTTTGGTGAATCATGCTGTAACCGAGTCATAGAGGAGAGACGCGTTGTGGTATGAAATAATGCGGTAAACTTTCTACGTGACATTTCCAGTGCTATGTCACGTGCGGTTACTTTCCGTGACACCGAGTATACGGACGCGTCGGTTCCGGTTAATGTTCGACCATTTCAAAGATCCGGCCGGGATAAAGAACAACAAAAGAGAGTTGAATGTTCCAGACGGTTTGTTACTTACCGGAGAGTACCAGCTTATGATTTCGAGGAAGCCAAGAAATTACCCAAAAGTGTGTGTGTGAGGGAGGCGGGGATGAATAATACTCTAAGACTTGGACTTTGGGCATCTTATACGTTCGTTTCTTGTACTACGTACTACGTTACAAGGTTGGGGACGATTAGGGACGATTGATTCCCCACCAGGGCCACCCACCACGACGGAAAGTCGTCCCACAGGATGGATGGTTGACGGATGGATAAAAACCCGTAAACGCGCGTTTGATCGCGCCTCTAAATTTTTACATAATTCAATTGAGTTAGCCAAAAACATATGCATTGAGCTTGGCAGGTTTTGATGTTAATGACAAGATGGAATGGAATGGAATGGAAGGAAGTTTGGACAGACAGGGAGACAGGGAATTATGGGGATGGGTGTGGGGTAGAAACGGAGATTTGTCCTATATAACGTGTCGAATGATGAAAAGCGAACACGAGCGAAAGGAAAGGAACGATCATGCAAAGCGAACATACGTTGGCTCTGGAGTTGGAAAAAATAAAATCCGTCTCGCGTCAAGGGGCTTGGTAAGAAAGTTTGTTGTGTAAGAATGTTAAACCGGTGCCAGGATCCGGTCTGATCAGAGCTGTTCAAACCAGATGCGGCGGGGAAAGGCCTAGGTGATTAGTGATGGAACGTACGAGAGAGCTCGAGAGATCTAGAGAACCGGCCCACATGCAAAATGTCAGTCTTGGACGTCCGTACAGGATCTATCGGAGGAGGAATGATGAGTCGCACGTAGGTCCGTCCCTCCGATTCCGAACGGATATGACCCGTTCGCGTTGCCACCTGTTGCTGTGCCCGCCAGCAAACTGAGGGGAGGAGAGCCCTGCAGCGAGGTCAGGGGAAAAAAAGATGGCATGGGGCAATCAAATGATTTCGGGCGCCTCATCCGCGCAATCGCGATTTTGAAATGGTTGGCAATGGGTGGGGAAGAAAAAAAAGAAGTTTGGAACCACATGATTGACCTGCCAACAGCGAATTTGGTATAAACCGTGCCTGAACCGGAATTGGGCGTTTTGATTGGATCAAACGTTAACCGGTTCTAGAAGGTATAACCACTATAAGAAGCCCCGCCGCCCCTCCCTTTGCCCAGACTTTGGCTTTTTTCCTTAACAACACCGCAAGCTCAAAGCCTCTCTACTCCTTCGTTGAACTTTTTTGCTCTCTTTTCTAACGAAGGTCGCCCCAACCATGTCTGGTCTCTGGGTTTATATTTGCTGTGGCTGGGTAGCCTTTGGCGGTTTCGTCTTTGGGTGTGTGACCTTTTTTTTTTTGATCTTTTGTTGATTGATTTTTGCTCACTGTCGTGTTCTTTCGTTGCGCGTCGTCGTGTCATCTTCCTCTCTTTTTCTCTAGATGGGACTCATCCTACATCAACGGAGTCATGTCCATGCCTTGGTTTATCAAGGACTACGGTCACATCGTCGACCACCAATCCTCTTCATCTTACGCTGTCATCGACAAGTACGTTGTCAACCGACTCTCGCCTTTTCGTTCCCTCTGATCACCCAACTCACGCCTTTGATTCGTTTTTCTTTCTTTTCTAGCGTCCAATACGAAATATCCTCTGTCAATCGATCACTCATCACCTCGCTTCTCTCCCTCGGTACCCTCGTCGGTGCTCTCATCGGTGGTTTCGTCTGTGACTGGGCAGGTCGTAGACGGACCTTGAGTATCGGAGCTGCTGTCTACATCGGTAAGTTCCTAAAATTGTAGCCCCCCGCAAACACACCCACACCCCTAAACCAAAAACAACTACCCCAAAAACCAAACCCCACCCCGCTAACCCGCCCCTCCCTCCCCCTGTCCACAACACCAGTAACCCGTTTTAGTCGGCGTCGTCCTCCAAATCTCCCCTATCCACATCGCAGGGTTGATCGTCGGTCGTATCATCGCCGGTTTCGGTGTCGGTCTCCTGAGTCTAGTCAACCCGATGTATATCTCTGAAGTGGCGCCTCCTCGTATTCGAGGTGCGGCGATTGGGACTTATCAATTGTGTGAGTCGTTTTAGTTCGTTTTTTTGATCACAGCCTTTTCAACCTTATATAAAAATATCTCACTTTTTCTTATTCGGGGTTGCTTGTTACCTTATTTACTTCTTTTTCGACCGCATATACCCCATATATGCGTTACTCTACCTGTCATTCGCTTCTTTCGACATCCTTTGATCTGACTTTCTATATTCCCATTAAAAACGTCAATCTTCTCCCGTACTAACCCCCTCCTTTACCCCCTCCCCCTCCTTCCTTCCTCCCTTGCTACACAGTCATCACAATCGGTATCCTGACCTCTCAAGGATGCGCTCTCGGTACCGAAAGCACTCTCAACGCATCAGCGTACCGTATTCCTATCGGTCTTCAGTTCATTTGGGGTTTCATCATCTTCGCTGGAGGGTTTATTATCACTGAGTCTCGTAAGTTCCCTCCCTAACCCCCACCCCTCTCTTCCATCCCCTTCTTCGTTCCCCAAACTCAACCCCCCCTCTAGCCCGTTGGTACGTCAAAAAAGAACTCCACACCGAAGCCCTCTCCGCACTCGCCAAAGTCCGTAACCTACCCCCCACCGACCCCTCAGTCGTGACCGAATACGAAGAGATCAAATCGATGCACGAATACGAGTTGTCTCTTGGTACACCTACGTATGGAGAGTTGTTCAGGGGCACGTTGGCTCCGAGGACTTGGGTTGGGATTAATGTGCAGATGTTTCAACAGTTGACTGGGGTTAATTTCGTGAGTCGCTTGTGTTTGGGAGACTACTGCTTTTTTTTCTCTCTCTCTTTCTAGGGTCTAATGTCCCTTCGTAACACACAGATCTTCTACTACGGCACCGCCTTCTTCCAATCCGCCGGAATAACCAAACCATACCTCATAACCGTAGCCACAGGCGTAGTCAACGTATTCATGACCTTCCCCGGAATCATCCTAGTCGAAAAACTCGGCCGGCGCAAATTCCTTCTATACGGAGCTGCTTGGATGTCGTTATGTCAGTTGATCGTTGGGGTTGTTAGTATAACGGTAAGGGATAAGAGTGGGCAGAACGTGTTGGCGGGGTTTACGTGTTTGTTTATTGCTGGGTTTGCTTCGACTTGGGGGCCTGGGGGGTGGGTTTTGAGTGAGTGTTTTTGTTTTTTACTTTTTAGGGATCTCCGTCCTTTTTTTTCGAGCCTCTTTCTAAAATAATTCGCTGATCTCCCTTCGCGCAGTCGGAGAACTCTTCCCACTCAAACACCGCGCCCGAGGAATGTCTCTCGCCACGGCTTCCAACTGGTGGTGGAACTGGGTGATCGCGTTCGTGGTGCCGTACATCACCGATGCGGCGTATGGGAATTTGCAGACTAAGATTGCGTTTATTTGGTTTGCTACTGTGAGTCTCCTTCCCCTTACCCTTACCCCTTTCTCCTCTGCTTCCCTTCCACCGCATATACTAACACACACTTTCAATTCTAACCCTCTCCTTCGTACATATGACACCGCACACACAGTCCCTCATCGGCTGCGTATGGACATTCTTCTTCGTCCCCGAAACCCGATACCACTCTCTCGAGACTCTGGACGAGATGTTCGAGTCTGGAGTTAAACCTTGGAACACGGCTAAATGGGTGCCGAGCGGTGCGGATGCCAAGGGTGGGGGTTATAGGCCTGGGGATATTGGTGTTGTTGGGCATCATGGCCATGGTAAGGGTGGGATGGGGGGGAAGGAAGGGAAGGAGGTGGAGCATGGGGAGCATGAGGGGGAGGAGGAGGGGAGTGAGAAGGAGAAGGTTAGTGCGTGAGGAGGGGGAAAAAACTTGTTCTCTTGTTACGCACCTTTGTACGCCAAACTTTTTGTTAGTTGTTTTCGTCGACTCTTTTTCTTTCCTCTTTCCTCGTTCCTCCTCTTTGGGGTGTTTTGTATCTATTATAAAGCTTTTACGATTACGATAACGATATGCATACACACACACAATCGGTTTTTATAACGTTACTCTTTGTTTTCTTTTTCTTTTTTTTTGTAAGTAGACGTTGTAAAAGCTTGGTTAGTTTATTCATGAATCGATATTTTCTTGTTCCTTTTGATGCCTAGAGGAAAAAGCAAGGGGAAAGAATGTGTTCTGCACTTGCAGTTGGGTTTCTTCATCCTCTGCTCTGCCACATTGATTGTGTGCGCGTGCGTGTATATAGAGTATATGCATTGAGAGAATAAGAGGGGATAGGTCGAATGAAGGAGCTCGAGAACGGGGGGAGGACATCAATATCAAGAAGCAAGTTTACAGAGAGAGTGAGTAATAGCGCGCGTACGTATGTCATATGTACTATACAACTTATAACTGTTTGCAATGGCCAAAATCAGGGAGAAGTACCACTAGTGCTTCAACGCAAGAGCCCTTCCCCTGGAAGCATTTCCGGCTTTTGACTCTGTAAAGACTGTATGTATGTTTAGCTCAAAGTCTACTAACTCGAGCTCGCGATCTGCATGCTTAAAATTTGACAGCAGAGTGTTTCTTGTGCTTATACTATCTAGATACTTTCTGGTATCAAAAATTTGATACGAATCAACTCCCTCCCTTCCCTACGACTCTTATTTATCTAGAAAATTGTACCTCGAAATGCGGTCCTGTAGTGTAGCGGTTATCACATGGGATTCTGATCTCGAGGAATATACCTGTCACTCTAACTTTCCCATGACCCAGGTTCGATTCCTGGCAGGACCTTGATTCTTGAAGCATGGCATTCTTTTTTCATTTTGGGAAAGTAAACAAATAATCCCAGTATACATACACGTACTCATGTACAAATGGAAGCACCTCAAGTTGTCGATAGGGAATGTAAGCATAGGTATGCTCACTTTATTCCATCAAAACGTCCGATATGTATCACGCCATTTTTCGGACAAAAATAATAATTACGAAGTCGCACATGTTAAATGACTATCACGCCATTTTTCGGACAAAAATAATAATTACGAAGTCGCACATGTTAAATGACTGTACTCAAGTGCTAAAGTTACCCGACGGATAAACAATTTGTCACACGTGTATTTACACGTTGCGCCATGTCAATTGCGAGGTTTTCCTGAGTGAGTTCAAAGGTTTTGTAAAGTTCCCGCGAGCGAGATCTGAGTATCCAAATATGAATATATAATTTGCCACAACGGCATTGGTGTAGTCCGGAGCTTTGCTCAAGATCCGGCACTCTCGTGTGCCGAGGTGTACCTTGGGAACGGCTCCTTGATGCCGAATGTCAAGCCATCCAACAAGCTGATGCCACCGCGACTTTATTTGAAAATTTGTTGAATCATTTCTCCACCTCCCTTCTTGCCATACTTATCCATATCACTGGAATTGAAGCAAATTATTATAAGCCTGAATACTAACTAGTTGGGTATGTCTGGATTCTGAAACAAGGTCAAACTGCATACTATCCCATAATTCATGGCTTGAGACAAGAACAGAAACTACAGTGATATTACAAAGAAAATAAAGATGTATTGGAAAAAACATTATATTTCTAGAAGATTTACAGAACAAATACAGGTCAGACAAAATGACAAGAATTTACAGTAGCTACATGAACATGTGTCCCTGTACTATTTAGTACGGGGAAGCTGCGCACCTTAGGGTATCCAGCGAATGGCTGTTGGTATGGTTCATTTCTCACTACAATTTTTACACCATAAAATAAAGAAGCATGTAAGCTAACTGCTGATATAGTTTTGGTAATTTTAAGTGCAGTTGAACGATCTCAGTGAATATTTTTTGAGCGCAGGTGGGATTTCGGCCAAAACGGGGAACCTGCGCAAACCGTGGGAATACCTCTTCAACTGATGTGCTGCTGCCCGCAGACAGCGCCGAGAGGCCTCTTCATGGTCGCAAATCCTCATACAGGTCTGTGCCATATGCTGAAGTAAATTAGACCACCAAAAAGTGGAAGAAAAATATCAAAAGCCTCGAATTTCTTGTGAAAAGTACAATATGTAGGTGGAGGTCTGTAGACAACGACATTGAGGTAAAGTAAGGACTGTCGGTGTCCTGAAGGTACAGAATAGATATAGGGTGTGTGTTGTAATGCAAAAATTAGCTGTGGAACCAGAACTGATGGTTTGGGGGTATGTCCACATGCTGCCTGGAAGACAGCCATGTTGAGAATTGCATTGTCGAACAGCTAAAATGCCGAAAAGATACCAATGAGTGGGCCTATAATGATGGCTAAGATACACTGCGACATACCTAAAACCTTCACATGCCCTTATCCGCTAGCACACTATCAGTAAACAATGTTCTTCTTGACCTCGTGAATTTGTTCCTAGCTCAAAGGTGGCCACTATCTGTATGGAAGGAATAGCCCAAAAAATAATGTAAGCTTATTGAAATGTTCTAAGACATCATAAAAACACGGACCTACGATCTGGTGGGCATGGGATGACCATGTACTTCAGCACATCGTGCTTGTGGTTGTGACTTGACTTTCTCAATAACCAAGAAAGCTTGACAGAAGAAAGCAGACTCGAGCTGCAAGGAGGCTATAGCACAGGTGTATGTTGTCTGGTGCAAATGGCATGGTTGAGGGGAATATAACGAGCCCAAGAAGAAAGCAAACGGCCCAATATTTGTTGTGTGAGGGCGGTCAACGCGAACACATGGTTTTGTTGACATAAGAGTTTCACGTGTTTGTCCCAAAAAGGCATCCTCTCGGACCGATATCTCAGCAAGCACTACAGCTACCCAGAACTCGTCTTGCACACAGACGGATACTATAATATACTGTAATTAGTGATCTACAAATTGAAGTTTAACAAACTACCACAGAAGTTATTTGAGAAATGCGCAGCTTCCCCGTTTGCGCAGCTTCCCCGTGCTAAATAGTAATTCTACTATAAAATCAGAGCCATGTCTCCAATCCATATTTCCTTTATTTTTGTGCTGAGTGGAGCAAAACACTTACAGTACTACTAGTAGTAACTCTGAGTCTCAGGAATATTGCTGTCATTACAACCTACTGTAAACCCACAACAAAATATGGATCCAAGTTGGATTCCCAGTGATTTGCCACTGATTTCATTGGGGCACCCATCATAATTCTTCTGTAAATCATTTGTCATTTTCAAGGCTTACAGAAAAAATTTCTCTGCCCAGTAAATAGATGACTTCTGCTCCTGCTCCTAGCATACCTTTCAGAGAAGTTGGAGTAATTTATGCAAATCTACGGGCCTTAAGTCGAGTGTTGCACATTCTTCCGGAAAATCATGTGAAAATGTAATGAAATGAGCAAGAATAGGAGTAAAACTTTCCGGCATTACATGTTCGGCGATCTTCGGCAGGGACTAGTGATGATCCGGCCCCTTTCGGAGAATATGTCATGATTTACACGTGATGACTTGCAAATTAGCATGCCGCTGTTCCAATGATTCCCATTAAAACATTGTCAATACATTATCTATCCCTAATTTCCTGGATCTAGGTACATTAATAATTCTTAGAGTGACCATTCATCATAAGAGACTGCAGCTTTGACATTTGATCAGAGTTATATTCACCTTTGACAATTAGCAATCATGTGGACATTAGTAATTCTCATGCCTACAATTCTCTGACGCGCGATGTAAATTAATCATTGGCAGATTCAATTGATTTTTACAGTGAACATTCCCTAGCTATTAATTCACGATTCACTTTATTAATTGGACATTGTATTTTTGTCCGAAATATGAGCTGATAGATATGTCTAGTTACACGCCAATTGACTTCATCCTCTCCTTTCATCTCAACTCAGCTGAGGTTAAAGCGAATTGAATCTTACTACTCTAGATTTTTCACACACATTCAGAAATGCGCAGCTGTTCTCATTCACTCCGAGTCCTTCTCCTCAAAAATGACACTAGTATCATACATCCGAAGATCCGCGCTGGGCATGATCCGTCTTCAAGTTCAAATTTATTTGTTCAGATGAGCACATGAAATATATCAGTTAGGTACATATGTGGCTCGCTAGTTACATTCACAGAAACGTCCGGACACTGTATGTTACAAGCTGAATGAAAAGCCCCGGTGAGATCTAAGCAATCAAGCTCAAGCTCCAACTGAACACTTGGTCCTGTGCGGTTTCTTCGATAAATAATACCGCTGCTCGGTTATTCAGTCAATTGGCTATTTCTTTTTCCGCCCAGGTCCCAGTAGGTCATGTTTCGGAAAATCGGAAAACCGGCATCTAAGGAAAAATGCCTTCAAAAACTTGCTTCATCGTATCTGTCCCTATCTGTCCTGGATTCGGATAGGTCCGAGTCACTCCGGCCTGCCTGTTGACAAGTTAATTTTTACTAACGCCTGAGGCTTTGCCCTTTAGGGAGAATAGAGGATAGGAGATCGAATAAGTGCGGATGGGTTTCAGAGATAGCCTGACCTGAACTTTTGAATACTAGGTTGGGCGGAGCAATGGGAGTCACTCCCGTTTCCCCTCTTTGTCTCCACACGGTAAGTCATTGTTTTTCGGGGTAAATACTAAGTATCTCTTTCATGCTGTTTTTTCTATGTCATCCTAGATCTCCCAGCACACTTTACAGCCGCACCACTCCATGGAAGGGCACCCGTGGCTTCTTCATCACAGAAGGTGCAGATACCCAAAGGCTTCTCCTTGTCACTGCTCACCATGTCGTCTTTACATCGGACAGAAACGTTAACAAGCATTTTGAGCATAGAAATAACAGCGAGCGCTGCCATAATGTCACAGTGTTTGGGAGCACCGGTTGAGATATCTTGAATCTATCCAGACTGAGATCGAAGACAAGACATTTATGGTCAAGTATCAGGAGGGACGTAATAGGGTGGTTGAGTTGGAAGAACGACCCGCTGGCGAACAAGAGACTCCAGAAAGCTCAGCGCGAATTGGAAGAGGCAAAGGAGGTGGTAGAAGAGCTCAACACTTTCTACCAGGATGTTTCAACTCAATGGGCCACCCTAGAGAGCCATATCTTGGGTCATATGCTGCCCGGAGTGGCCCAAAATTATTTTCCGCAGATATCTCGGAATTTTGACTACTTCCGAAGATATATCCCTGATTTTTGATACTTCCACAGATATATCAGCGTGACATCTGTCACATTAAAATTGTCAATCTTCGGGGTGTCCATGACCAGAGTGGTCCATGGCAGATATATACTTTTGGTGGTTCTAGTATATATCTGAAGTCAGCATGTTTTAACAATATATTCCTCGTAATTTGTACTTTAATTTGTTTTCAATACTCTTGATAGTTTGGTATATATGTGCTCTTCCTCCAGGAATCTTTAATATTCCTTAATTTCCATTGATTCTTCTATACTGGAGTGACTATATTCAACTGTTATACTCATTGATTTTAAGCATTACATAGGTACATACTACATTACAATTAGTGTTCCAACGGCTCGGCTCGGCTCGGCTAGGCTTGGCTAGGGCTGGCTTGGTCACGTTATGGCTTGCCCAGCCAAATTAAAGTTTCAGCTATGGCTCGGCTTGGCTGGCTTGAGCTTAGCCATCAGCTAAAGCCGTTGAGGTCTTACCCGAGATCTCCGATAACTTTCCCGTGACACTTCGTTGAAATATTTGCCGGTCACACAATCTTTTTCCACGTAATTTTCCTCATTTGGTACATCGTAACTCCTTTAGGTTTGCTTGACCCCAATTTGGCCGGCTTTTTTCGGCTTTTTTCAGCGGGTCAAGCCAATCAAGTCACAAGG